CCAAAGGCTCAAGGGAAGCCTCTGTAGCCTCGGGAGGCCGAAAAACGGGCCTTCTGGAAATACCGGATGTGCCGAAACAGGCCCGTCTTCAGCCTCTCAGGGCTCCAGCGGCTTCCCTTGAGCCTTTGGGAGGGCAAAAACGGCCTCAAATGGGCAGAACATCAGCTGGGAGGCATGCGTATGTGCACTGCAAGTAAGGGGTTGGGGCGGGAGTGTTGCACGTGCATACACAGTGTGTGTGTGTGCATTGCATTGTGGGTGCTGGCGCACGTTTTTGGCACACAACAAAAAGATTCATTATCACTGCTCTAGAGAATCTCAAAGCTGGCTTGAGGAATTCTGGGTGTTGAGGTCCACAAGTCTTTAAGTTGCCAATTGGGAGACCCTTCTGTAGACCATAGTGGAAAATCAGTCAAAATCCAGAAGAAAATAAACCCAGTCACTTTCATACAGACCTTGAATCCAAGGAGAGGACTCTTGTATACCACGCCATTATGAATAGTGTTGTGCTTATGTTTCATTGTGTTTTGTGAACTCAGATTCTGCAGCTAAACTATTGTAAATCTTGGCTTGGCCAGTCATGTATAACTATAAAGTGTATTGAATTTTAAGTTTTTTATTGTTTGGGGGCCACCCAGGATTATGCTGCCTAAGGTGGATGGCTATATAAATCAAGTAAATATTATTTGTGATGTATATAGATGGCCTTTAAAGGCCAGGAAAGATGTATTAAGCTGGCTGGGTTTGTATATTCCACTAAGTGATTATTTAATCTCAGTTTACTGACTAAAGCACTACTGCATTGATTGATGCACTGGGCTAAACCATAAATCAAGATTCATAAATTAAATGTCTGGTTGAGATATTTTGTGTGTGTTTTTTAATACATCTGTAACAAAGCTGTTATCATTAAAGATATATCCAAATGCAGAGAGTCTTCAACTGTAAAGGACTTAGAGAGAAAATATTTGACTTGTAAAACATAGTGGTTTACTAGGATCGCTTTCACTTGTGACTTTTCATATATTGGTTTCCATTGGTAGGATAATAACAAGATGTCAAGTCAGCATCAAACAAACCACGTTTATATTTTTTCTGATTGCTGTAAGCCACTCATTGTAGCCCCATGCTGAGATGGATGGCAGATAAATTTAGCAAATAAATAAATAAATTTTGGCAACCTACAGTAACAAATGTATATTTTTGAAACTGGGATAGTTACAATGTTTGAAATTACAGTGATACTTAGCACTCATATTTCAGGCCGTAAACACTTCATAGGCCCTTACCGAGCAAGCTGCATCCATTCCAAAGCTGTTTCTTGAAATCTATTCAGTTCTACTTGCAGCATAAATTATTACTGCAGGGGGATATAATGAATAAATCATCTGAAGTTGAGTTTTTTTTTTTAATTTGAAGGACTATTTACTGCAGATAATTCTTGCAATCATTGCTTACATCCATTGTTTTCTTTTGCTGCTCCAGACGGGTAATCTGAAAACCACTTCCTTCCGTGAGGAAAAAGCAACTCAGTTAAAATCCTACGTTTAATTCCATCTATACCCTCCTTTTCCATTCTTGTATGTGCTCTGTCTACAATTTATTTTCTTTACAACATTCTGAAGCATTTTTTAAAAAGGAAATCCCTGCAGGATTGACTCTGAATGGGCACAGTGGGTCAGATACTGTGCTACGCAGGTTTATGGTTTTGAGAGTAGGGCAATGTAAGCAAACGCACAACTTGTTATCTCTCTGGATTTTTAACACACCACGCTCCAAACACAACTTTGCCTGTGCGACAATCAAGAGGCAAAAGGAAAGAGGAGACAATTGGGAAGGGAATTGGTTAATGGATAAGGCAAGAGACACGTTAGCATCCTTCTAATCCCTAGGTTTAAAGCGAAATTGCGCATCTGGAATCTTAATGCTGTTTAAGTAGCCTCAAAAAATTTTGGACTCCTTCCAAAACTGCTACATAATTAATGGGGAAGAAAAAAATTATGAAGTCATAAAGCAGTGAGTAGTGTAGGTTAATGAATGGATTTTGGCCCTCTGTGCTCATTTGGGGCAGTGACACAACTGGAGATCCAACAACTTTATAAAGGAAATAGCCCCTAACAGGCATTTAAGGACTTTGGAAATACTTTATAGCTCAGGGGTACCCAACCTTGGCAACTTTAAGACTTGCAGACTTCAACTCCTAGAATTCCTCAGCCAGCTATGTTGGCTGAGGAATATTGGGAGTTAAAGTCTACAAGTCTTAGAGTTGCCAAGTTCGGAGACCTCTGATACAGCTTTTCATGACTCTGCTTGGATTCAGGAGTGAAGGTTGAGTTTTTGACAATGGTTTAAGCCAGGGATCTCCAACCTTGGCAACTTTTAAGACTTGTGGTCTTCAGCTCCCAGAATTCTGCAGTCAGCATGAATTCTGAAACTTGAAGTCCACAAGTTTTCAAGTTGCCAAGCTTGGAAATCCCTGGTCTAAGCTACTTTCTGCAATCTTGGGAGATCCAAATTGTTTAGGAATTGGTTCATTGTAACGGTGAGAGATCTTAATGGTGGGTAATTTAGTTTTCGCAAGCAAAGTGAATCATGTAATTCTGTGGCCAAGTAGATGTGAAATTCATACTTCACCCGCACAACTATCTTGTGAGTTTGCCTCCCTCCATTCATGACAAATTCAGTCTGGATCAGAACTTTAACATCTAGCTGTGGGAAAAGAGAACCTCACAACTTCTTTAATCAACATCATTCCTTCCCCCCTACAGAAAAAAGGAATCAAGGACACTAATTTGTATTTTGTTAAGGTGTAAGGTAGCCAATGTCGTTAAAACACTAAAGGACAGGCTAAATGTTCCATCCTACTCATGTTAAGGTGCTGGTCCTAGGAAGCCCTTTCTATGGTTCACACAAATGGAAAGATGCTCAGATTCTGATGAATAAGGATTCTAGCTTAGGTTGACATAGCATCTAGAGACACCCACTGTGTTGTTTTATTTTGTTTTAACAAATTGCTGTTTTTTGTTTTGTTTTGTTTTACAATCAGTCCTGACTCCTGGTAACTACAGAGCAAGTCCATGAAGTTTTCTAGACAACATTTTTGGAAGTGGCTTTTCTTTGTCTTTTTTTTTTTTTTAAAAAAAAACCCTTTTGTTTCTATTGCACTTTTCACAAATACAAATCACATTTATATTTGTAACAGTGTTTTGGCATCGACAAATACACATACCTTATATATCTTATTATTACACATCTACTTTAAGAATCTTTTAAATAATCCATTCTTCCTAATCTGAATACCTATTTTTATATACACATTTAGATTTGTATCACTTAAGGTCTCTTGCTTTATAACAATAATCCATTCTTCCTAATCTTTATACCTATTTTTTAACCACTCATACCATTTATCCCATATTAGATAATATTCAGAATTTTCCTTGTCTTTCATTTCTAGTCCATTCCAATATTTTTTGTATGACTAATTCTTCTGAAGGAGTGTTAGCTCCTTTCCATAATTGCACAAAAGCTATTCTGGCTGTTGTCAAAATATGTAATATAATATATTTAATCTTTTTTAGAGTATTGGCCTGTAATTATACCTAATTAAAAGAACTCCGGTTGAGTTCAATTTGATGCTTGGTGATCTCTTGCAGCCAGTTCTTTATTTTAACCCAATATTTCCTGGTCTCCGGGCACAACCACCATTCTTTGTCTTACTTAGGGGTTGAGAGAAGGGACTGACCTAAAGTCAGTTAGGCAAAACTAGACCCCAGATTTCTCCGTTCTTGTCCATCACCTTCCTACCTCATTATAAAGAAGGAAACTCTTCTTTATATAAAGAAGGCTCTCTTGTAAACCTACAGGGGTATCTTGGTACTCGGTTTGTTTGGTACTCGAAACACAAGCTAGGTATCAGGGTTCCAGCAATTGCCCTAATTAAATCATGAGCCTCGGGCCAAGCTCCAAAAGAATTCAAAAGATTTAACCTAAATGAAGTCAACTCTGGCATATGTAATTTACAGTCACCTGTGACTGTTCCGCCCCCCCCCCCATGTATCATAAATCACGATTCTCCAATGAAGTACGTTCATTCATGAGCTGGGTGTCATCAATCATGTTTTCCAATGAAGGATTTTCGTGGGCAGAAGATCCGGTAGCCTAGCTACAATCTTTTAAAGATAAGCATGGAATGTACTTCTGGTTTTAAACTGCTGTACTGCTCCTTCAGACACCCCCCCCCCCCATTTATTGCAAATGGAACAGGCCTAGGAATGTTTTACGAGTTGACACTAGAACTTGTTGGCATCAGCTGCCTTGTGACTACACTATTCCTTATGGGGAAATACTTATGGGGTTGTTTGATACTCATTGTTTTTGGTACTCATTGTTTTTGGTACTCATTGTGCCTCCCAGAACCAATTAATGATGAGTACCGAGGTACCACTGGTATATATAGCTGAACAGAATCTCTTTTCCCAGATAAGTGGGGAAAATACTGCATTTTTAATAGCCAGGTAATGACACGATTAGCAATTAGTACATAGAAAAAGTACCCATTTATTCAAGGTATGACAAGTATATTTACAATATAGTCTCCAAAACAAGATCCTTATGTGATTTTTCAAGCAATCAAGAATTACACTTAAATGGGGAGATCTTATTTGTTACAGAAGATATTATCTCTGCAAATGATTACAACATACAAGGCTCAGTTCTAGGTATGTTTACCCTTGGAAATGAGCCTCAATGTAGTGCAAGCACAATGATTCCCAAGTATACAAACATAAAGACAGCCTTAAGGTTAAAGAATCGTTCAGTCATCTATCGCAATGCCAATTCTGTAAAAACTAAATTTTGTTAACTGTTAAGGGATAGAATCTTAGAAGTTGCAAGGATTATATTTTGCTCCCTGGACGTAAATGTAATAGCATGTTTAAACCACACAACACAGCAAACTAGTTTAAATCAAATCAAATTCTCTGGATCCTTTGTGTGTATGTGAAAGAGCAGTGAAAGTGAAATATACTATCACTTGCAACCTTCCACTGGTTCTTAAGCAACTCTAGAGGGTTTTATAGGAGGGTCAAGATAACAGAACAGCAGTGGTATTAGATTGCACTCTGCTGACTTAAAAACTACTCTTGAATTTTTTAAAAAGTGTTTTGAATTTTAATGTGAATCTTAGAAAAGTGAAAGGATGCCATCCGAAGTGGACAGCGTAAGAAGCAAATTGTCTTCGCTTTATTTTCTACAGCACCATGACACTATGCTTTTTATTTAACCAAAGTCTCACCTACATTTAAGTAAATTATGACTTAACCAGAATGTCAGATGGGTATGATGAATTAAGTGATGGGGTCTGATAATGTTTTGAGGAGATTATGCCCCAAAATGACCAGAAGGATTTTTTTTCTCCGCTACCTTCACAACATGGAAAAGGAACAAAAATGGGAAGATTTTTATTTCTTTTGCGTTAGGAATCCTTCTTACTTGGTAGTGTGTTGTTGGAGACTTAATACTCAAATGAGGCTCATTGTAAAATATAAGGAAGATAATCTGGCAGCCTGATCCTTCTGGAAAGAGTCCTGAGATTGCAAAACATCTGAAGAAACCCAAATTCATAGCTCTAAGAAGGACATGTGCATTGCTCCAAATCTTAAGCATCTCTCCCAGCCCACAAACTACAACTGAAATGGTTTAAAATATGAGAGTCAATTAAAAATTCTTTTCTACAGCCAAAATATCAAATAAGAACTAGAGCATACATAGCAAAGATATTTAAGGTTTAAGTTTTGAGCATGGCCTGCTCAACTCAACAGGATTCTATTTAAAATAATTAGAGGCAGAGTGTGCAATAAAAAACAATACCCCATGTTACCAGTGTTGTAGGTACAATTAGATCAGTGATATCTATTTTAAGACAGAAAACCACCACCTAGAGCAGGATTCCCCAATCCTTGGGCCAGGCCCCACTATCGGGTCTTGAGCCCTTCAGAACTGGTCTGTGGAAGTGGTGGGCGAATGCGTAGGTGGGCGCCTCCTCACATAGGTGAGCCATGGGAAGCGTGGGCACACATGTTCCATTTGTACAAGTGGCAGGTGTGCTTGCCTGCCACTCATGCAAACGGAGCTATGCATGGCCATGCGCTTGCCTTCTGCTCATATGGAACCATCCCCTCCACCCCGCAGGGTCGGTCCACAAAGCCAGAAAGGTTGGGGAACTCTGGTTTAGAGCGGGGGAGGGGAAACATCCTTTTTAAGGGATACGTCTCCCAAGATGAAATCAAAGAAATGGAACAGGGGCCTGTCAATTGTTCCATCATCTAATACTGCAACTCTGGAACAGGATGTTCTGAGTGTTTTTGGAAGCAGTCCAACATCATAGTAGGCCCATTTTGTATCAGACTATATCAGAACGCAAGGCCCATTTGTTTCATAATTGAAGTGTTCTATTTTGGGATCAGAATGATCCCTAACGGAATGTACATTTTTGTTAACTCCTCTACAATGGGGAAGCTGATGGAGAACTGTCCCTTGAAGCGCCAATTCAAAAATGATTTTCACGGCTGTACAAAATTGACTCGTCTCATCAAAAAGTCCTTTTAAGAAATCACTTAGTGCACTTTTGAACGACAAAATAGCTCCCATCCTTGGGTATTAGTAACTTGTGTTCATTCACTCAAAAGCGATGGTATTTGTCTGGCTGTTTGAACCATTCAGATTTAAACAAATCAATAGCTTTGCATTAACATGCTTGCTTCAACAAAAGGACACATTTATGATCAAGAGTCACTGTAAGAAGGGTCCGAGAAAGGAACAACGTGATTTTCCTGTTGCGTAAGTCATTCACATTTCCTCTTTTACCAGTTCAAATGTCCATAAAAGTTCTGAATCTTGCCATTTGGAGCAATAGGGGTTGTTTCTAATAGTCAAAGTATAACAAATTAATGTGCCACTTGATCAAGGCTACCAATATGAATTCCCAAGACTTCCCAGCAAACCGACTGATTTGTTTGATAGTTAGAAAAAGTTATTTACACAATAAGTTAGCTTCGTAACATACTCCCTCAGAATAAGAATGGGACGCTTAAGCTCAGTGCTTCAAATCTAGCTCCAGGATCTCATATATTACCAGTAAACAAAACATAATTCTCCATGTGTTAGGACTTTATATGCTGGCTACCAATAACCAAATTAGAAACATGATTTGGGATTGAAATGCCCTTGCGCAAATTTGCTAGCTAGGCAACTTCTGTTTCATAAACTGTGTGAACACCATGAAGCAAAGCAAACTCACTTTAGAAGCTACATATTATGTGCATACAGTTTATTCAATGAGAAAAAGGTTACTTCTTGCTTCCAACATTTACTGGTAATTGGGATAAAGAGAACTAGTAGAAAGTAGTGTAAAATTGGTTTCCCCATTCCCTGCCAAACATCTAACAAACCCAGGAATGGTTGAACACAGTTTTGTACGGTTCCGTACAAAATATGATTTTTTTTTGCATATTCCAAAGGTAAAAGATGTAGGTAATGAAAATTTACATTTGGCTTGAAACATTTTCCTACAAAGATTTATTTCAGCATCTATTTACAGAGAGATTTATACAGCTGAACCATGTGATGAAGTCTTCTGCTACTGTTAAAAATGAGAATTCGTAAGGAAGCTGTCTTGCTTTCAAACAGAAGAAACAGTCAGGAGAAATTATTTTTTCCTTCCAAAAATGGGGAGGAAGTAGGAAATTTGGCAGGCAGGAAGAGGTAAGGGCCACGCCTTATCAACTGACCCATGATCACTCTATTACACCTTCCGACGTAAGGAGGTAAAAATGACAGGCACTGTTAATTCCATGGAGAGTTTGCTGCATTTAGCTTGTACTCCCAAAATATGAAGAAGTCTTGAAGAGTTCTAACATTCCGTGACTTTTCCGCCAGTTGAGTTCACAGCATTCCTGGTATGCCAATGCCAAGTCTTAAGTTGCAAATTTGCTTCTGGTTTTCTTTATATATATATGTATATATATATATATATTAAATAGGTTTACTGTATACTATGGTGTAAATTGGAAACTTACTTCAAAGACCATTACAAACGTTGCTTTTGTATACAACAAAATCGTTGCGTTGGACTGACCGATCTTCATGAAGGTTTTATAAATAATATAAATTTAGAACCAGTCTTCAGGACCTTTATCAATCATTATACCATGTTGTTGCTTTCTCCAGCTTTATCTACAAGCTGTGGGCAAAGGAGACAGAAGGGAAGGTGGAATTGGGGAAGGGAAAAGAAATTGTAATTTAATACATTCATTAAGAATGGAACACACTGATGCTACTTCAACACTTGCACTTTAAGTGAGTGACTGGGTGTAGTATAATCTTACTGAAACAATACTAACCAAGGTCTTATGTAGTTTACACAAAGTAAGACCCGTTTGCATTACAACCGCATTTAGGCATGGTATGTTTTTATGTTAACACAGAGCAACATGAAGATGCAACAGAATGAAAAAAAAAATTAAATAAATGAGAAATAATGCAAGTATAAAAACTATTTAGCTCAATAACCCAAAAGGGGGAGAAAAGAATATTATTTTGAAAAATAATCAGCCATTCATGCATTAATAGACTGAAGATGATATTTTCAACTAACCATTACTGGGAATTGTCTCCTGAACCTACGCAGGCTTTGAAGAAAACATCAACAATTAACTTTTCCAAAAGGATTTAACTCCATAAAGTCCAGTTTATAAATGGTACTGATACAGAAAAGCAATAAGCAAGATGTCAAACCAAATTATGAACAGAATTATTTAAATAGATTTAGTGTAAGAAGAAAACCCAGCTAATTTTTTTAATCCATTAGACATACTGATGCCTTGGAAATTAGGGGCACAACGTGGGGCTCAGAGGCTCCTGTAGCAATAAAGCAAAATGTGCCAGTCTTTGGCATGGCATGCTGTCAGGCTGAGAAAAGGGCAGCATGCTTCTCCTAGACTAAGTGTCATTGCAGCTACATCCTGAAACATTATATATATATATATATATATATATATATATATGTGTGTGTGTGTGTGTGTGTGTGTGTGTGTGTCTATCTGTATCCTATTTAGAATTCTCAATTTATAATGCATCTGAACTGCCTTGAACAAAAGCCAGCCACCACATGCTTAATATTAGACATGTTCAGAAATGCGAAATTAGAGAGATAAGAGAATAATCACGGCTGCAAAGAAATGTGTCAAAAGCCACAAGGACAGTGCCATGTTATTTAATGAGCATTGACCATTGTAAAGATGGACACGGGCAACAGGCAGTCTTGAATACACCTGGTGAAGCTTTCCAGATGCCCATATTCCCTTCGGAAATCTCCCCCTGCGGTTGGATTTCGCCTCAAGCAATATATGACAATGTCAACTTGCTATTATCTGACAAGGGGTGTGGAGCATATTTTAGCTGGGAAGATTGACCATCCTTATTCTATATCTCCAGAAACCATTATACCCAAATTAGGGTGTGAGATGCTAGCAAAGGAAACAGGTGAGCTGAGGTGATAGTTGAACTGTCTCCTTTTAATGAGCCATGAACAATAAACCATTTGCTTGGTTTAATTTACTGCTCCCGACAGACTTGGTACACAAAATAGGAAAAAAGAATGCTCAAAATAAAATGGCACGTGGATAAGCCTTTCCTGTTACTCGATTGTTTTCTCAGCTGCCTGAAACAATTTTTCTAGAGTGAAACCTTTTCTGAAAGCCTTCATACATGCAGGCAGGGCATTCTGAAGATTGTTCTCAAGCACCCACTAAATGTTCCCCATTTTTTGGGGGGGAGGGGAGGATAATTAATGCACCTAACAAAGACACTGCAAGCCCATTTCAAGGAAAATGAACACTTAGTAGCCTTAAAGAAAAAAAATCTCCCTCTTGCTCTCTCCTACCCGTTCTTCTCATTCATAGGCCCCAATGATTTTAGAGAATGTTAGGTTGTCACCTTGAACTGGAATTGGAAAATCATTATAGATAGTCCTCATTTAGTGATCAGTTGCGAAGATGGCAGTAATACACCATCATCTCCTTTTAATGACCCCATAAGCCCTTGTGAGGTGGAGTCTGGGAAACTGAATGGAGCTGGGTGCTTACTGGCCAGATGTCCTTCCTGTCACCAATACGGAATTTTATTCAGCAGATTCACTCTCATTGTGCCCAGAGATAAATATCTGCCTCTACCTAGGATCCAACCCACAGCCTTCTGATTGTGAGGCGAGAGCACCTCCTCTAGGCCACTCCACCACTTATGGCAGTAATACATGGTGGCCAAAAATTCAATTGCTGACCAATAGCCTCCAAATTTGGGGCACCTGACAACAAAAACCTTCAGTGTGAAAAACTGATTAAAGGTCTAGTCAGTTTCAAGCTGTACTGCAAAGGATGGGGGGGTTCTAATCAATTAATTAAGGTCACCGAGAGGAGTCTGTTAAGTTGAGGTTAACACATTTTAGGGAAGTGTTGTGAGAAAAAGCAGCTCAAGAAGAGACAGTTTAAGCAATCTCTCTCTACTCTGCAAGGGGGCAGCAAAAATGTCAGGCACAAGACAAGAGAGAACTTTATCTGAAGCAGCAACCAGGGATTTTTGTACCCCCCCCCCCCGGGTCACATGTTCACTTAGCGACCTTTTCATTTAACAAACAAGTCACTGCAACAGAATGCAGCCACTAAATGAGGTGTAGTACCTATTTGTAAAGTTTTGGGGAAAATTAATGTTTTTATAGCATGCTTTTTAAATGGTACCCACAGTTCTGTCAAAAAGTATTGGCCCATTCTAGATTTTTGTGTTATTTGTTCATTCAGACTTCCTTTGTATGCCAGGAAGATTACATGAATCACTGACATCAATGGGGAAAAATGTAAAAATTCATAAATTTTTGAGAGAGATAGTTTTTCACAAATCTGTGATTTATACTGACAAAGGGACCTGAGCAAATCTGATGGGGGCTTTATGTATGACATGACAATTTATGCATATCTACAATGTATTCTTGCAACTGAAGGATCAGTCCATTTCTATGCCAAACCAGCTTTTAACTTTAAACTCAATTTGCTGGATAAGCTGCAAAGTAACTAACCAACCTCCTTTGAGTGATTGTAAGAAAACTGTCCTAGTTCAAATTCAAATAGAGAAAAAAAAACCCTCAGACTAAAATTATGTCTCTTCTGACCTGAAACATGGGGAGGTGATGTCTAAAAAATCTGGAGAATAAATATAAGGATAGAGAAGACGGTCTATGCTGACACAGAGTTAATTTTGAATCCTGTTATCATTGTTACCTGGTGACCCATATTTTAAATGCACATCTCTGTACATGCTGGTCCAAGTTCTTTAAATGGAATCCAAGAAACAGAAGGAAAACAGAACTTGCTATGTATTATGTGAAATTATTTAATACTTACTGAGCTTATACCAGGTAAATTCAACAGATACCCGAGAACTGGCACTCTTCTAATAAAACCAATCACCACAGGGAAAAAGCCCCTTGGAAGAAAAAAATACATTACAGATTAGAAGACTTTTCCAAATAGGCTCCCTTTACACATTTCTAAGATTTTTAAAACTGCTTATTTTTTGTATGAAGAAATATATCATCTTTCATATATATTTTCCCCTTTCAGAATGAAGAGTATGCCCATCTTTAATTCTTTACATATTTCAAGTAGTTAGTGATACAGGTAGTCCTTGCTTACTATTCCTTCAGTGACCATTCAAACTTGCAATGGCAATGAGAGATGTCCAGTTGTGGACACTGCAGCGTCCCTATGATCACATGACTGCAATCTGGATGCTTAGCAACCAGTGCCCATTTACAATGGTTGTCATGTGGCCATGTGATCACCACTGCGACTTTCACAGCTGGCATCCAACAAGCAAATAGGGAAGCTGGCAGGAAGTCACAAGTCTGTGGTCATGCGACATCGTCCTATAGTGAGTCACTTAATGACTGCAACAGGAACTGATGCCATAAGTCGGTGCCATCACATGAGGTCACAGTGCAGTGCTTAGCAACAAAGTTGCTGGCTCTTACTGTGGTCAAAAAGTGAGACTGCATGTATAGACTTACACGCTTCCTAACTGCCTTGCTGCTCACTGGGTAACAGAAACATTTAAACAATAGGGACAGGAGCACTACATGAGGTGCAGGTACCTGCTAAGAGGCCACTGATGATTACAGCTTTGGGGAGGAGACTTCTTAAATAGTTTATTAAGACATCATAGTTGTATGAATACTATTATTCCAGGGATCCACACATGGTTTTTAAATGCAAATTTAGAGACATAAAACAATGGGTTGGTTAAGTACTAAGAGGGGAAAGGGACCTTGCATACCATAACAGGCTATAATGCTTGGTCTCAAAAATTGGAAAGAAACAACCCCTTATAATTGGAGTTCCACTGGTGTCTTCCTTGACATCACAGTGTCGCGCATTTAAGAGGATCCCAGATGGCAGGGAAATCTACTTCTATTAGTACTGCTGTAAGTACCTAAACCCACCAGTGAGCCATAGTGGCGCAATGGTTAGAATACAGTACTGAAGGCTAATTCTTCCGACTGTTGGGCGTCCGATGCTCACTAGGGTCAAGGTTGACTCAGCCTTCCATCTTTCCGAGGTGGGTAAAATGAGAACCCAGATTGTTGGGGGCCATAGGCTGACTCTGTAAAATGCTTAGAGAGGGATGTAAAGCCCTGTGGAGTGGTATATAAGTCTAAGTGCTATTGCTAAACGCAAATTCTCTCCATTTCCACCTTACAAGGAAAACCACTTTTCGGCACAAAAATTTCAAGGAATGAAATGGAATTTTAGAAGAGGGTTGTTATTGAAATGAGCAATTAAAAATGATTCCTAATAATATACTGGTGCTGTAGAAAGAAAAAAAAATCAATCATTGCACAGGCAGTTGGGAAATGCTCCCCTTTCCTCCATCTGTTTTGGCCTTGAAAATCTGTATGCTGGATACTTTCCGTGAGGGTGTGTGGGTATGTCTGTACACGAACATGAGAGAAAATCAGCCCAGGAACAGATGAGATGCCACTACAAGCATTTTGTAACTCTGGAGGGCTCATGGCTATTAGCCAGTTCCTACCTTGCATCAAGGTGATACCCTCAACTACAATTAAGGTAATATATTATAAAAACAAACTGGGATTAAGATACCACTTCACAACAAAATGCCTTTAAGCATATGTCTTTCCCATAAGCCAAAGAATGATATGCCTCAGAACAAGGGTGGGCAACTATGGCCCTTTTATGAATTATGGACTTCAACTCCCAGAATTCCTGAGCAAGCCATGCTAGCTCAGGAATTTTGGGAGTTGAAGTCCACAAGTCATAAAGGGGCCATAGTTGCCCACCTCTGCCTCAGAATGTTATGTGAGATAAAAGCAATCAATAGCTAGTGGGTTAATTGAAAAAAAACCTGGCTCCATTCCACACCTGGGTTACAATGGGTAGTAAGCCCCTTATGGGATGCTTCGATTGTTTCATTAAATGTTGATTTTCTCCAGGCCCTCTTTTGGACAACATATTATGTATTTTTATTGGGTTTATTCTTGCAAAGCCACCCAGTTATACAGGTGGAGGCAGTCTGTAAGTCTAATAAATGAATAATTATTCCTATGCAAATTTTCTTTTTGGTAGTAAACTGCATTCATGTGTGCCAGAGTTCACAAGCCAGCAGTGTAGGGCACTACTTACAGGTAGTCTTTGAATTACAACAATTAATTTAGTGACCACTCAAAGTTACGGCACTGAAAAAAGTGAATTATGACCATTTTGCACCTTTCCGACTGTTGTAGCATTCCCATGGTCACATGATGAAAATTCAGATGCTTAGCAACCGGTTCGTATTTATGACGGTTGCAGTGTCCCTGGGGTCATATCATCCCCCTTTGCAACCTTCTGACAAGCAAAGTCAATGGGGAAGCCAGGCTTTACAGTTCTGGAGATTTTGTGATGGTGCGTGAGTGGTATTAACCTGTTATTAACTTAACATATGCAATGATTCACTTAACAACAGTGGCAAGAAAAGTCATAAAATGGGGAAAAATTCACTTGAAATGTTTTACTTAGCAACATAAATTTTTGGTATCAATTGTGGTCATAGCTTGAGGGCTACCTGTATTTTTTCTTTCTTGCACATATTGCCAACAGTGCAATAGGACAGCAACAACCTGTTACCCCCCATAAAATGCAATTTTGTACTAGAAATGATCACTAGCAAAAAGCTTGTGCTTTTCCACATTTCTAATTTTTCTTTTTCTTGTCTTAGAAGTTTCATAATCACCAGTAGCTAAATAATTTTCTAAATGAAATTTCAACCACTATTCTTCATCTATGACTGTCTATAAACTCCTCAGCAGAATTTGGTAATTTCTCAATCACAGCGAACCAAAAACATATTTGGAATCAAAATTAAATGGCCTCCCTGTGAAGGAGATGGGAGGTTAACACATCTATATATACAGTATAAAAGTGAAATACCACTCACGCATCATCACAAAATCTCCAGAACTGTAAAGCCTACAAACTTGAAATTTGGCACCTATGTTTCTCTTGGCTTCTAGGTGCTCACTAACAAAGGATTTTTTGAAATGACCATCAGAACATTAGTATTTCCTGTATTATTATTAACATGCTCTGATGCTAAGGAGTTCTACTGCCCCTTCCCACCTGAAAAGAAATCTGTTGCAAATGCAAAACACCAGCAGAGGACAGGAGTTTCAATTTCACAGCAGCAACCAGCTTTAGTACAGAACAGTTAAGACACACCAAGGCTCCTTGCTGTCTCTTTCTTGTTCACACAGCAAATACTGTTTCACTTTCCAAACAGCCCTCAACTCTCTCATACACTGACAGGACGCTAGCCAGATTAATACCGATGGATGCTGGTAGGCAGAGGCAGAATTCCCACCCACTCATTTTCCTCCCCCAAAACTAAGCCCGACTACATAGTTTCATAGCAAAGCATGGTGTCAAGCTAGTTTGATATATAATTAAATAAAAGTAAAAATTTGCAAGAAGACCTTACCTGAATAAGAGGAAGAAACCATAAATTTCAAAGACCATTCCTATCAGAGGCCAGCCAATAAGAACTATAAATACACCACCCAAGAAAAAACCTGTGGCTTTCACTTTGTGTTTCTGGAAAAAGAATCTGAAAGTTCTTTCTAAACCAATTACGAAAGCCAGGCCAGCCACAAATAAAACCTGCAAAAATGAAAACAAACAGATTTGAATATAGGTTCCCACCTTGGAAATATTCAGAGAGAAAATATTCAGATTCAATATAAATGTTCTCCAAACATCTATAGCAACAATTTGCTATTGGAGGAAACAGGAATATTTTAAAGGTATCTTTTATAATGTTGGAACAATAAAAAAACAGAACTGTTTGCGAAGGAAGATAAATAATTTACAGTCTAAACACTTAGGGTTATTACTAACAAGATAGATTAGAAAGGAACCTTTATTTTTCTCCCACCTTTATTACGTTTATAAATAACCCAAGGCGATGAACATACGTTAATACTCCTTCTTTTTCCTATTTTCTCCACCACCCTGCAAGGTGGTTTGGGCTGAGAGAGAGGGACTGGCTCAAAGTCAGCCAGCTGATTCTCATGTCTATGTTGCTAAGGATTAAATAGGATAATAAATAGGGATGTGCAAAACTTACCATTGTAAAAATAGAATTTTTCATCTCCAGAATAATGTTTATACACAACTAGCAATAAGTGTATAATTTAAGTAATGAATATCTCACTGGATGACATTTGTCGCACTGCTGTATTTTAATGTTCAGTTTGATCTCCTCCCCCAAACAGAAGTCTAGATTAATACAACGCATCTAACCGTATATTGGCAAAACACAATTCCTGTTCAACTAACAGATGGTAACCAAACAAGTACAGGTAGCCCTTGACTTACAACCATTTGTTTACTGACCATTTGAAGTTACAACAGTACTGGAAAAAGTGACTTATGGCCATTTTTCATACTTAGGACAGAATTGATGCCTTTGAATTGTAAATTATTGGGTATACCATGGAGAAACAGTGTAATTAACAGAGAAATCATTAATTGTTAAATCGTAGAAAGCCAGATACATCATTAGAAGCTAAAATTATAAGACTACATCTGATTTATTCTGGCCATGCATTCAAATTCATTGCAGAAGGCAATGATGCTAGGAATGCTTTCTGGAACAAGAAGAAGGGGCAAGCAAAGAACACGCTGGCTTGATAACATCAAATCTGATACAAAGTTGAACATCCAACAATTGAAAAAAAAACTGCGCTTGACAGGGTAGCATAGACAGCACTTGCCTGTCAAGCTGTCAAGAGTCAGACACGGCTAAATGTTTAAAACAACAACAATGATCTGGCTTCTCTATGTAGGAGTTTCTACAACTTCCTGAACCTCAAGCTACCCAATCTCATTTCTGTCTAGACCGTTGTGTGAATTTGGCCACAGGGGAATTACATGAATTGTCTGTGTTAAACATAATAACTCTCAGAATCCTATTATTCCGTGCAAATGTTATTCATGCAAAAGTACTTACGTTTCCAATAGCTAAAAGTGCTTTGTCGAAAAATAGGATCATTCCAAAGAAAAGAAAAAATACTCCAAAACCTGTAAGGCCCATCCCAATTTCTGTAAGACAAAAAAGAAGAGGAGTATTAATTACTCAGTGTTAGCAACAAAAGAAAAATAAAATAAAATAACCATTAAAAACCTTACACACAGTTATAACATTAGCCAAGGACATTTTTAAACTGGCTCCATTTAAAAAAAAAAACCCAATTGACACTTGCCCTCTTTTGAGTTAAAACATGCTATTCTGAAGGGACTTCTACTATAAAAATATTTTTGTTTTGATTACTGCTACTTTTGTCTCTAGAAATAGCCAGTCTTTGATACAGTGCTGATCTATAGATTCAGCTACCACATTTGCCATCACAACTGTCCTTTTCTCTTTTTTGGAGGTGGAGTTGTCTCCCACAATAGGCTTACCTACAAGGTTTCTAAAACATTTGTTAATTGTCTAACATAAACTCCCGACACTTTGTGGTGCTGAGATCCAGAATTCCCATTCAAAGCAGAATTCATGAAGAAGTATTAAATTCAATTAACACATTCTCCCTTAAATTACTTATTGCATTTATAAACAATGCCATCCCTGCCAATTCACTTCTCCAATAATCTTAGCAGACGCCTTTTCTGTGCATGCACAGACAACTGGAGATGTATCATAGAGCCGGCTATCACTGTTCCAAGCAGCCATGTAAGCCCTGCAAAGACACTAGTGCATTAAAAAGGTGAACTTCATTTTGCACTAATGCATCTTTGAGAATATTTCTTTCAAATATTTTGCAAAGGTCCAACATAATTGTTGGCCATAGGATAATGTCCATAACTGCACATTATGAAGATGCAATCATTTATCCACTCACAGTTTAGAGACTTTTTAAAATAATCTACTTATATTTCTTCCATGAAGACTATTTTCAAAAAACAGAATAGACCCATGATTAACTAAACGCATAAAACAGAAATTAGTTTTTTTATCAAATAAACTGAAACATCAGTTTTATTCTTAATATTAAATCTCTTCTTTAAAAATGTATTTTGATTTCAATATGGATCTGGTCCACCTATTTTAGCATTGCAATTCATTATCTAAACACCTTATAATTAAAATAACCATGATGTATTAATTTATTGATGTATTAACAGTACAAAGTAAAATAAACTTTGTATTCCTTCTTGAAACATTTAAAAATTTGTAGCTTAAGGAAGCAATAAACAAAACCCAGTCAAGGAACTACCAACTTAAGACAAACTAACAGTAAACAATAACATAATAAAGGAACCACCAAAAACACTCGCACCAACATTGACAGGGCAAACCACTAGTACATAAATAGAGAAAAAACCCTACTCCCTTCTAGCACTGATCCTGTTAACTAATTGGGTAATGGGACATCTGCAAGAAAACAGCCAAATTCAGCACTAAGGACCTCACAGTATTTATAAATTATTTTAATTTTTCAGCAGCCTTAAGCTGAGAAAACTGTTATAATGAAGGTACAACAATTTTATTTTTAAGAATACGATGACCAGGAAATGTTTAATAGGCAAGTACATACAGGCAAATGAGAGAAGAAACAGTTGGAAGAAGAACAAAGCAATTTACCACTCTTTTGCAACCTGTATAGAAACTGAGCAGGCTGCTAAGGAAAGGAAGCTTTATTTCAGTATTTGGTAAAGAAATGCAGCCAGACTCATTTTCTCTTCTTTGTGAACTTCAAACTTGATTATGAAGTTTGGGAACTGCTAATTTTTCAACAAATATACAAGTTATTGTTTCAATAAAATAAATTTAAGCTACATATATCCAAGAATACTTTTGGACAACAGAAACTGGACTGTTCCATAACAACTCTGGAAAATTTCTGCATATCAACAGAGAAATAAAAGATATTTATGATTTAAGTGGTAACTTAGACCAAGCAGCAGTTTTTGACAGATTCAAATTGAGGACATAAAGAGGTATCAGATTTCTGACATCAACCCAATAGTAAAAGAGAAGGGAGTGAGCAGCAAAGTTGCTTCAGTACCTAGAATTAACTGCTCCATGGGGACAGAGGATGGAGCTCCAAAGAAGACTAACTATGGGGCAAGACATTGCAATATAGAAAATGATGCCTTCAACATAGATTAAAATAAACAGCTTAAAGATTCCCAGCATGTAACAGATCTCTATAATTTTTTAAAAGTTTTGCTTTAAAAGTTGTAATACATTTGGCACTAAATTGATTCTCACAATTATGAATTTGCTTCTTTATGTTCCATGACATTGCATAATATTCACATTTACGTTACTTGTGCAAACATGCTAAACATTTTCTTGTGCAACTTTTATGAGTAACAATGAAATCATTTTATTTTATACAACTTAACCATAGCAGCACTAATTTATCCAACTGAGGTATATCATATACTACACGAAAAGGGCTGCTTATCATAAAAGTATAAATTCTGTGAGCATTTTCTCAAATATAGCCAACAGAATTCCACACGTCAGCGTAAGCATTCCTGGAGCACTCACAAAAAGAACAGGTGTGAGATAACTATTTTATTGCTGCTTCTCACAAGTTTTTATGGAACCCTCCTTATCTTTTAGATGTAGTTTATGGTAACTAGCCATTGATCACTCAGTCTGCCACATACTGGTCCAGTTCTCTTTTATGTTTAGACATTTGTGGAAGTAGAAACCCATTCTTCTCATTAAAATCTCCATAACACCAAATACTTAAATGTGCAATAAATGATAGCCTGTGCCTTAATGTAGTTCTGTATTTAAACATTTCAATTAAGTAGCCACAGGTGAGAAGTTATTTCACATGGGCAAAATAACTGGTTGGCAGAGGTGAGAAATTGCTTCCTTTACACCTAGCCAAACAATTTTGCATCCCTCCTCTGCTAACCTTCAGAAAACTAAATGCAAACATTTTAAGTGATTTTAAAACAAGGCTGCATACCATTCAACTTTTGAATTATACAAAAAAAAATTCCAAATATTCCAACACTGATGTTCAGATTATTTTTCAACAGAAGAGAATATATTTCGTTCAGGGTTGAACAATGGAGTCCTTGGTGATCAGAGTTTGGGTTACATACTTTTCATTACCCAACTATGTAACAGGAGTGCTAGTGAGTGTGGGATCTGCTGTGATATACCCAGTAGCTTACCCTGCCAGGGGGCTGGTAAGGGTGTGGCTTTCATTTTAGTAGCTCCTTGATTAGAGTATAAAAACAGAGCAAGCCCTACACTCACTAGCACTTATATTGTTACACAGTTGGGTAATAAAATGTCTGCGGGCAAACAATGAAACTTAAGTACATCGCAGATTATTTTGAACTAACATATGGCAAGAGAACATGTTCTATCTAAAAATAATAATTCTAATATTCCAGATAGTTCAGCTTGGATGATTTTATGCGAGCTTTCCTTCTTTAATCCACTGACTGTCAAGTGAACTTGGGCTTCACATCCTATATCCACCTGTTAAAATCCAACACAGCAGGAGAGCCCCCCAGGGTGGAGGAACTCTGTAATTAGAGCATGTCTGATGCTCATATAAAATATACATTTTTTTCCCCATATAAAAGGCAGTACTACCTCCGCTTTTTAAAATATCAGGACAAAGGTATACAGGGACAGTGGCAGGAATCATATTTCGTGAGGTGGTGAAAAAGTCTTCTACCCCAAAATAACAATTGCAGAAGTAGCAAATAATGTTTAGATATTTAAACAAAAAAAAAAAAAAGCCACCCTGAAGCCCAATTAATTCAACTCTTGCTGAATTAATTGCCCGGTCGCATCCATGCAGCTTTTCCCGCTGCTGCCTTTAGCCATTAATTTTAGGTTATTTTATACTTATGTTTATTATATTTATTTATATTAGGTAAAGAAAGGGGAACCTTCCAGACGGGGTGTTTCCTGGGGGGGGGGGGGGGGGGGGGCTCACCCATTCCAAGCAATGCTAGTATGATTAATATTAACAATCACCGGTGGGAGAGCAATGAGGGGTTCGTGGAACAGAACGACAAGGATAAAAAGCTAGGAAGGAGGATGCAAGCGGAGAGGATAATGCCAACAATCATTACTACAGAAGCAGCAATATTTGGCCTCCGCTCCCCCCACCCACAACCCTTCCCTCCCCAATTCACCCACTCTGCGTATCCGTGAGGGAAATCATGATGCCGGTAAGAGCCGCCGCGCCAGCCGGATAAAGAACCGAAGAGAAGGAGCCGGAGCCGCCTCAGGAGCCCGTTCGCCACGTCCTCCGGAAACACGCAGCCCCCTCAGACTAACCCGGCTTCGGCTGCCGACCCGCCTCCGCCTGCCGCCGAGGCGCCCGCTACTGCTGCCGCCGCGATGCAAAACGCCATCCCATTGGGGCGAGGACGCCGAGCCAATCAGCGCCGCCTTTATTCCGCTTCCTTCCTCCGGCCGTCGAGAGGCGGGGCGGAGCTTCGGCTGCGCTGAGGTGGCCGAGGATTAAAAGCGCGAGGCCAAGAGGGGAGCGCGTGCCGGGGCGGATTGGCTGAGGCAAGGACGGAACTGAAGGGGCGGGGCCAAGATGCCGGCTGGGATTTCTTGAGCGCGGCGGAAGGGAAAAAGACGGAGGGAGAGGTGCGTCTCCTCGTTGGGGGAAGGGATGGGCGTTAGGTCGGGCGCTGCCGCGGAGGGGTTATTTTCCCCCCTTCAAGAGGCAACTGGACTTTCTGGTTTTTCTCTGAAGACGTTTCGCTCCGATTGGATGATGGGAAAGGGAAGGATTGATATTCCTTGCGGACGGCTGGTCATTTGCATCCTTTGAGGGAGCCTTTGAGGCCAACTGGAGGTTTATGTGTGTCCTCAGGGTCACCTGAGTGGTGCAAATGTTTTGTGGAGCCGCCTTGGGACTGCTGAAAGGACTGAGTTGTAGACTGGAGATAGAAGGTGTCATATCTCTCCCCCTCTGGTGAGAGAGTTCAGGTGACCCTGAACCTCCAGGTGGCCTCAACGACTCTCTTAAAAGAATGCAAATGACCAGATGGCTGCAAGGAGTATAAATCCTTCCATTCCCCACCATCCCAGTCAGAGCTGAAGAAGCTTCTTGGGTGAGAAGTGAAAGGTCTTCAAAGAAAAAAACAGAATGTCCAATTGCCCCTTGGGAAAAAAGCAACCATGATCTGGGTGACTGAGAATCTCCATAGACACTTTGGGAGGGAGTTGGAGAGAATGGGAGATTACAACAATCCTGCAATGTAGCCCCCTCCCTTCTATTCCGGCTCTTTTACAAATGGTACGATTGACTCAGTCTTTTAAGAAGCTCCTATATTCCAGCAGGTGGAGAGAAAGAGAAGACGATAAATAATAGTCTAGGCCAGTGGTTGCTAAAAGATATGTGGAGTTCCAACTTATGGTTGGGGAATTCTGGGAATTGAAATCCCCACATCATAAAGGTTGAGAAACATTGGCTTAGTCTAATATTTTTTCCACAAGAAAAAGACCTACTGGTATGTATTTGTTGGATTCATATCATTTCTTTTGTTAAGAATTTCAAGTGAGTGAACATCACCCTTCCCATTTCTCCCACAGCAGCTCTGTGAAGTAGGTTGGGTTGAAGGAACAGGACTTGATTGATGGCTGTCTTGTAGTGAGGACCTTTACCCTAAGTTGCAAGGAAAAATCAATAAAAGGGGGAAGGGTTTATGCCACCCTGTGACCCAGTGTTATTTTAAAAAGGGAGAGAGAGAAAAAAAATATCCTGCAAATTTTAGTCTAGGGATTTTTTTTTAATTTACTTATATTTTATATTTCTTAACTGTCCATCTCCCTCAGAGAGGAGTGTTAACTGAGCAACATCCATCTAAACACCTCTTGATTCAGAACGTGTTCACATAACATGCTTAGCTTAAGCTAAACATGGCTTATTGAACTTTCTCCAAATCCATCTTTTAACCATGCTTATGCATGAGGTGGAAATAAAGCTGCTACCTATAGGTTTGTAACTGAATAAAGTTGTATGAACAGCCAGGGTTCCTTCTGGAATGGAATAGAAAGCAGAGGAAAATGATTTGGGTTTTTTCCTGTTCAAACTAAATATATTTGCTAGTTGCCAAAGTCACAAGTGCAGATTTGAATCAGCCACACTAAAATTTCTAAAGCTTCACCTTATCTTCAGGAAAATATTTCTATGATAAGCTGTCCTAGAGACTGATTCACCAAAAATTACACGAAATATCATGTAAACTTGCGAAACTCTTTTCTTTTTCCACACGAGACTGATATGGTGGCTCATTATGACAGATCGGTGTGATTGTTCAAGGCAGATATGTCTTATCCAGAAACTCCAGTCCTAAAAATTGTCTCAAAGCTTTGGCAGTGATACTGTGATGTAAGCAGTCAGGGCAAGGCTGTTTTTGTTTTTTTGTGTTTTGTCAGAAGAGGATATTTAGTAAACTTAGTGCAGTTTAAAAAGTCCATAAAAACCTGTTTGCTTTCCATATTTGCAAATTTCTAGATAGTACTGGTGTGGCAAAAAACTTCATCTAGTTAGCATATTTCTGGATAGAAATTCCATTCTGATGTGAGGGAAAACTGCAACAATAACAATAGCAAATACTTGTTCTAATGGTTGAAATGCAGGTCCTCTATTTTTGAAATACAATGTAACAAGCAGAAATTCCGCAAGTGTAATTGTTGTAAGCTTTGCTTCTCTCATTCAAATGCCAAATGTATATCTGAACTGATGCACTATAGCAGTGGCCCCCAACCTTTTTTGTGCCACGGCCCGGTACCGGCATTACAAAATGATCCACGGCCCGGTACCGGCATCAGCACGCATGACAAGGCAAGGCGAGCCGAGCGACCGGCCAGCCAGCCATCCCCCGCTTCTCCCCGCCACCTTCAACCTCCTCCTTTGTACCTTTTTTGTGCTTTTTTGACCTCTGCCATCGGGACGGCTCTTCGTTCGAAGCCGCCCCCCCCTTCAATGAAACTAAGGCGCGAGGATTCCTTCAGGACCCAAACGCCGCTTTCCAACCGGAAAAGCTCACCCGGAAGCACTTTCTGTTGAAACAAGATGGCGGCGCCCAGCAAATTGGCGGCCCAGTAGAAAATGATCCACGGACCGGTACCGGTCCGGGGCCCAGTGGTTGGGGACCCCTGCACTATAGAACATAGGCAGAATGGGGAATTCACAGGTTTCAGTACTTTATATATTTTTTTTCATCAACCTAGAAAACTAATGTTGGGGAAAGAGCTGCTGCATGTGAAATTATCTGGAACAAATTTGACATGATTGCACGGTTTAAAAAAGCCTTTATGTTGCTGAGAAAACAGTTGTATATATCAGGTGAACTTTGTTTTGGAAGGGCATGCAAGGAACTTCGGAAAACGGGAATTTGACAGAATTCCTCTGATGAATACAATATTAGGGAAAGCTTATACGCAAGTCCTTCCTTCGATCAAGAGGTTTTTTTAAAGATTTGTTTCTTAAAGACAAGGATTTTGTTTTGCAAAGTAGTAATGGCTGCATCTTTGTTATTTACTTCTTTATATTGGCTTGTTTTTGTTTTGATGCTTTCTATGAGGCCACTCTCAGCCCTAGGAAACGGGCAGTGGCAAATCGCGTCTGAAATATTGCCAAGAAAACTGTAGGGACTTGTCCAGGCAGTTGCCAGGAGTAAACACTGACTCAAAGGTCTCCCCCCCCCCCCCAACCCCCAAAAAAAAAGATCCATAGCAATGTTTCTTAACCTTGGCAACCTGAAGAGGTGTGGACTTCAATTCCCCAAGCAAAGCCAAAAAAGATGAACTGAACAAATTCTATACTGCTCTCTCGTGGCCACAATAGGTTGCATAAAAGAAAGAAGACGCATCTAGGAATTATCTTTATTTTACATCTGGTTTGTCCCAATATCACTGACAGTTGAAATCTGCATAGCTCAGAGAAGAGTTTAAACCAGGGGTGTCCAACCTTTCACCTTCCCTGGGCCACATTAGAAGATGAAAATTTGGTTTGGGCCGCACATAAAATAAAATAACAGTAACGATACCTGATCATCCAAAAAAACCATAGAAAACATAGTTAACATATTAAATGTATTTGGAAATGAAGTTAGTGAGATGTTTTTATTATTAATTATTTATTAAAAATTATTTATTTTTTATCACAGTTTTTTTATCACGTTTTTTTTATTACGGTTTATTTTCCGGCCAAATTTTGCGGGGGTGGGGGGGGAAAGCTCGCCCGCCTCGCTCCTACCTCTCCTCCTGCAAATGGCCCGGCTGGATGAGGCAGGACTGGAAGGCAGAAGCAGCAGCGGCGGGGGCAGAAGCAGCGGCGGGGGCAGTGGCGGCAGGGGCAGAAGCAGCAGCAGTGGCGGGGGCAGAAGTGGAGGCGGCAGGGGCAGAAGCGGCAGCGACGGCAGGGTCAGAAGCGGCAGCAGGGGCAGAAGCGGTGGGGGCAGAAGCAGCGGCGATGGCTGTGGTGGCAACAGCATGAGGTGGCGCTCTGACGGTGCCTGCTTTTTCTGTCGCTGCTTGGCCTGGCACTCGCCTCGCCCTGCCTCGCGCCTGCTTCTCCTCCTCCTCCTCGCTGGCTCTGGCACGAAGGTTGGGGTGGGCACTGGGCCGCATTACAAGGTAACCTGGGCCGCAGGTTGGACAAGCCTGGTTTAAACCAATCCAATCAACAATGTTGACAATGTGCCAGATTTTTAAACGTCACCTTTGTTCTGCCTGATCTTTGGGTTAGTGCATATTTCAGGAGAAACCAATAAGCTTGTTTGCTATTTTAGGACTTCTGATTTGGTCCTTACCTTATAAAAGGTATTGCAATACTGTAGATTTTGAGTGTTTTCTTAATGGTCTTTTGCACCATAGTCTTTTTTTTTTTAGTTTAAAATTTGGATTTTTTTTTTCCACAGACTTCAGGGCAGAGTAAAATGTATCCCTTCCTCAGAAGGCTTGAGGATCCGTGGCATGTTGGAGATTTAAACACTACATGATGCCTGTCAACTTGTTGAATTTAATGAGTTGTAAGTGGGACTGGGGATGCTGTGCCCATTGAACAGAATTTAAACACAAACCCTGGCATTTTATTCATCCTGTTAGGGTTAGCATAGAGTACAAGTAGTCCTTGATTTACAGCAACTTATTGTTTTTTCAGGAAGAAACTTGGAGCATTGCTTTGATCAATATTTGTTAGTGAAGCACTTTAAAGGTGATGTCAACTACTCTTTCAGGTAACTCGTGCTTCCAACATGCATTATTACAACAGGTTTTAAATACTTATAATATGTAATGTCGGTGTGGGTGTATGTATGTACATATTTCAGAGAAGAAATGGGAATGCCATGACTGTGCATAGATGTGTTATAGAT